CCCCCCCCCCCCCCCCCCTATTATACTTATGCATCAAATTATTTTGCCCCTTCTTCCATAGACAAAAAAAAAAGAAAAAACGAACTTTGAATCTGAAAATTTCTAAAGAAAAGGGCAAGACGTACGCTGCATTTTATTCTTTGGACACGAAAGGATAATTCAAATTCCAAGCATTAAGGTAGGGTGTTTCGGCACTTATGTAAGTGATGTAAGATTTATATATTTTCGTTTGCATTAAATGTGTTATTGTGTTGCTCATGATGGAATCACCGTTTGGTGGTTTAAACAAGAGATGAAGAGATGATTATGACAAATGAAATGGGGTTATCAAAACCTAAGAGTAATCGGACTGATTGATCACCAATTCGCTTGAAATTGACGGTGACACAATTAACCAAAGTTTGCATTTTTGAAAATATATATTTTTACCGTTTACTTAAGTGTTTCCTACTGAGTATTATTTATAGTACTCATCCCTACAAATAATTTTACAGGTTAAGATCGAGGCATGACAATGGTTGGCATAGTGGCAAATGTTCGGCAATCTCTAATTCTTTCAATTTCTAGTGAATATTTCTATTTATGTAAATATTTCATGGAACTTAGATGAAATTTTAGTAATGCTTTTTAATGTTTATTTTGTTCTATTTTTAGACAGTGCATGTTAACAAGAATTTAAAAGTATTGGATTGATTTGTATGAAGTTTTATTTTATGCTGGGTGGAAATTTCAATTTCTGTCCTTCTAGTTGAAAATAGTATAACTTGGGCTACGATGCATATTTTTAAGTGAAATCAGTGGGGTTTGAAAGGTCTATGAGTCTTCTAATAGCGGCCTTTGGAATTTCTCGAAAATATTATCTAAAAATAAAGTTATGCCCATTTTAGTAAACTGCATCGTGTCGAATCTGAGATTCCTGTCCAGCATATTCGAGTAATATTTTCGTGCTTCAAACGTTATCGTCGAAACCCCAAATTTTTAAATGTGGTACATATATAAATGATTTAGTCCCTGTAAAAATTTCATAAATTTTAATAGATATTTGCTAGGCCAAAGATATTTTTCTTCCGCTGTCGTTAAATCCGTAACTGTCGATTTGTCTTCAAATCTTTTACAAAATCAAATTTTGCTACATTTGCCTAAGTTATATAGATAACTACCTTCCATTATATTTTTATATATTTTAAAAAAAAATTGGATTTATAAAATACTTTGGCTAGCGTCAAAGGGATCGAATCAAAGAAAGAAACGAATATTATTTTAACGCTTCGATTTCCGAGAATTCGGGGCGTTACAAATTGGTAGCGACCAAAAACGACCAAAAACAAAAAAAAATGTGTTTTCTTCGTTTCAAATAAAATTTTCTAATAGGACTCAAATATAATTTGGGTTATATTATTATGTCGCTACGACACTTCCTAATAGTCCAAATTAAATTTTGGTCACGAAAGTAAAATTTCGCGTACTTGATTTTCTTAAATTTTACAAGGTGCTAAAATCTCTTTAGACGACAAATTTTATTTGTTTATTTGTTTTGACGACACACATTTTATTGTATATCTATTAAATCTTTGAAAGTTAGATTAGAAAACCTATTGTATAGTACATTAATCATCCCAACTTACCTTAACATTTAAACCCCATTTTTTTTATTCAGAAATCGAACCCTCACACTACGGCTGCCAACAAGACTTGAGATAATTTCACTCTTATCCTTTGCACCACTGAACTATGTCTCGAGGGGCAGGTTTTATTTACCTAAAACTATGAGACATGTAGTTGGTTAATAGAGTGAATAACGTTGAAAGTGAATTGAGGATGGATAGAAAATTAAAGTTGTGTGACCGATAAATTTTTATTTAAAATTCAACTATAAATATGGAATTAAACCACACTAGGTAGAGAGACATTCCCTTGAGAGAAAGCCAACTCTTTAACCACGACCAAAGTTTTACAACAAACTAGCATGTCTCTTTCTAGCGGTGGAAACCGATTTTAGAATCGGGCATAAATTACAGTGAACAAAAATTCAAATTCAATGGAGTGCATATTTCTCTATTTGTTCGATCTTTAAAACTGCAAATCCACGCTAAGGTTTGATCAGATGGACTAACTTTTCTCCAATTCTGTTGATTATAGTTTGAGAAGAGGAAGGAAGAAGTTAAGAAATGGAATTCTAAGATATAAAAGGTTATCGCCCACAAGGTTTGAGAAAAGAAGCTCTGCAAATGTTTCATGAAATGTGCTCTTCTGGCACGAAATCAAAATAATCGACAGAGCCAAAGGAAGCAGAAACAATTTTTTGGGTTCACTAATTGGTGCATGTTGGACAAATAGTAAATTGGATTTGGTGCTAAAGTAGCTATGAAGAAACTAATAGAACTCGAGCCTAAAAATGGTGGACCTTATATCGAGCTATCAAAGATTTATGCATCAAAAGGAAAATGATCCGATGTTGCCCAGCCGAGGAAAAACATTCAGCTTAGAAAGCGTGCAAAAGTCACCCAGTCGTGGTCGGATCGAGGTGACGAAGAAAATGCATACAATTATCAAATTAATAACAAAAATCACAGGTCGTGAGATTGTCTTAAAGGATGCAAAGTAATTAGAGCTAAATATAGAAAAAAATAAGTGAAGTTACGACCAAAAACGAGTTGATGATGTTTTTTCTTCTCTGTTTAGAAATCTCAATTCACAACTTTGGCTTATTAGCTTGTAGTTCTCTTCCAGACATCGTCTAGAAACAATTCCAGCATTTGTCACCCAAGGTGAAGAACAATTCTTCTCACGAGAGTTCGATTCTAGTAAGATTTTTTGTCTGAAAAACTTTCCAAGGGATTCAAAGTTCATCGTGACCCTGTGGTTGCTCCTCGTTCATCGTCTCTAGTTTAACTTCCAGTTCCTACCATATTTTATTACATCACAACCAACAGTAAGACTTACTGCATGGATGAGGAGTATTAATACAAAAAATAAAAGCAACAACATGCATAAAATGTAACCTTAAGTTTATCTTCCACACACAAGGCTGGCGTAGACAACAAGGCTACATATCTGCAAATGCAAATATATTCAGATGCCGCAGATCCAATAAAAAAAATAATAATAATTAAAAAAAAAAAGTGAGAAAACAGAGACTGAAATGCCCGCAGCCAATTTTGCATATGTAAATCTAAATGAATGTGAGAGAGAGAGATTCTTACTCGCAGCGGCTTGGTTCACCTATGTCTATAACTTCATTTTTCAAACCACATCTTAACTTCACCTGTATAATATAATGAAAATTTCTCATTACGTGAAAAGGAACTGGAGTGACCTTCCCAAAAAAATAATAATAAATAAAAAAATTAAGAATTCGAAAATAGATACCTTTATACTTCGATCTGGGCCATTCCAGCAATGATCTCCATTTGAAAATAGCATGGATTCATAGGACTCATCAAATTTCTCCCAGCTCCTATATTAAGCGGTTAATAATTGATGACAGAGGACCGAATCAAATGAAACTAAATAGGTATTCTAGCAGATATCATGCACAGTAGATCAAATATGAGGTGAAAATCACTATCATTAATATTTAAATGATCTCATGACATCGACGTGTCCAATGCTAAAAACATATATCAATAGAAATGTCCAGATATAAAAATGCCTACCCCAATCGAGTTGTACTATGACCCTCCACTTGAGTAGCTTGTTTAAAAGGACAGATTTTGTAAACATACCTGAAATAATTATTACCAATTCCAATTGCAATGAATTAGAAATATGTCATACCAAAATCACACTACAAGTCAAAAATGGCAAAGAAGAAGAAACTAGGAAGTTTCAAACTTGTTCTGCTTGCTCTCAAAACATTGACCATAGAATGAATAGAATTCCTTCTCCTTTCCTGCAAGAAAGAAACGTAGAACACTCCACGTCAAAATGTGAGCTTTAAGAACATAAATTGAAAGGGAAAAAGTAAAAAAGTTGATAGTGCATCAACGTCTAGCACACCAAAATCATATTTTAGCTTCTGTGAGAGACTTGATATCCTTGACTGTATTTTGGATAACTTTGAACTCGATTCATCGTACTCTTTGCGTACACGTGCAGCGTCTGCAGACACACAATGGAAAAGCATCAGTATCCACTGACTATTGTCTAAAGTGAACGGAGTATAAACCCTCTATTGGTACCAGATATATCCGCAGGAGTTTGTAAAAAATTGACAGCCTGAAAGATGCTCCTCACAGTTTGCTGTATCTTCTCCAGCCACGATTGGCTATCCATACCAGTTATATCTGACCAATTTGGATCAAATATGAGTAACTCACTGACTAACTAAATAGTCGTTGTAGCTACAGAAAAGAACATGGAAAATACAAATATGCTTCCATTTCAAGAGTTGACAGTGAATAAACACCTGATACTTGTAATTCATCATCTGACTCAGGTTTGTATGAAGAACTTGAATCCTCAAGATCCTCCCCACCATACTCTTCCGACTGGTCTTCAGTGTCATCATCATCATCATCATCATACCTCTGCTCAACGTCTTCTGAGTCATAGCCACTATATTCCTCATCATGGGTATCGTCAAGTGTTTCATCATGGTTTTGAGGATCATCATCTTTAGAGGTATCAACCTCCTTGGTTTGTTGCTCATTCATTTCTCCAGTCCATCGAGAAGCAATACGACGCCCTAACTCTTCTCGAGATAAAGACTCGGAATCTTCAAGTCCGTCTTTCTCCTAGAAACACGAAGTGAATTAGTCATTGCTTGAATCATGTCAGACATGCCGAGTTGCTGGGCTATCAGAACCTCAGATTCCATCATCTTAAATATCAAGCACCTAAAATCTACTATTACAATGACTCAAATGCATGCATGTACATATGCGTGCAGTACATACCTGATTTCCAGTATCAAGACCAGCTTTGCCATCAACAGTTGAATCTCCCTCATTCTGTTCAGTATCCTACATAAGACGAATGTACATGATTGTATGTAGATACCCTATATATGATTCCTGATATACCTTCCACGAGTAAAATTTTCCTGTAGAAGAAGACCACACCTGGAGAGAAGCCTCTTTCACCTGTTCGACTCCGTTGCTCTTATCACTAATCTCAGGGTCACCAACAGATTTATGATTATCCTCCACGATATCCTATTAAATACCAGTAACGTAAATAGTGGAAGTGAGCAAACCAAAAGTACAAGATAATTGAGCCTGTTATCATACAGCGATTATTTGTCATGCATGAAGCAAGTATATCCGTAATTTTTGAGTAGAGATCTTACAATCCTAAAAACAACTTACCTATTAATTTCAAGATATCTACTATTTCATGAGACACAGGGAAGTTCCACGTGTTGAAACTAGGCTACTCTCATTTGGGAGAAATTCTACACCAAGCTGGAGATCATATAATATCAAAGTAGATGGGATTCATGAAATCCTGATTCTTTTCAGTGCAACTTCCTAAGAATTTTTGACACATCTGAAAATTTTATTGTGTGAAACCCAGTAGCACTTCCGATGTCAAGATCAATATTCGTGCTGTTGAAAATTGGATGAATTTTTTACTTTCAAATTGATTCACAAGCCGTTAGTCAATGTCAAACATTGGAAGACCTTTTGTTAGAGAGGGAAATGAACAAAACAACTACCCCTCATGGGTGAGAGGGGAGGAGAGAAGGGAGAAAATCGTTACCGGTTTCCCTTCAAGCAAGAAATATTTTTCTCTGTTATGGACATGTGGCAGTTATATATTTAACAGTTTTATTTGTCATGTCATCTCTAGCCTATTTACACGCATGATGTGTGATTTAATATAACCTTCAGGTGTCAACACAAATATAAATAGGACAAACCTGCAGAGGTGGAGAATCATCTAGTAAACCAATCTTATCATGGATATCATTCTTCTCAGGTTCTCCTATACTTCCAGCATTCTCTTCAGTTTTGCTTTGCTTCAATTTAGATTCTTCATCTTCCTTTCTTTCTAGTTCTTCTTTTTCTTTCCGCAACCGTTCTTTTTCCTCAGCCTTCTCTATTTGTTCTTTGCGCTCTAGATGAAAAGAAAATCAAATTTGGATGATGAGCCATTATTCTTTCATGTGAAAACAATTAATGAATGAGAAAAAGAAAGAGGTAGCTGAAAAAAAATGAACTCCATAAGTTAATAGTAGAATCTATTATTTTAAACATCAGAGTGAGAGATTGAGTAAACGTTAACCTAGTGAGAGCATGAGCAAAGGCAATATTTAGATCTACCAATCCTATTCACAACAACAGATTTAAATCTTAATTGTTATATGTAAATACAAGCACAAGGACATTAGCATCTTGTTACGAAAAAATAAAATGGGCAGTAAAAAGATGAATATATTCATGTCTATTTTGATGTCAATGTGCTAAGCCTTTTCAAAACATAATTATCATTTATATTATGCCTGTACGACACAGGAAGATTAGATCAATATGTTTATTTAACTGCTTTCTTCTATCATCTTTTGGATCACTTTCGTACGCTATAGAATGGATGGAGAAAGAAAAAACATTCTCTTATTATTCATCATATTATCTACTCTGCATACATATACAATGTAACCAGATCTTCCAAAAAAACAAGGACTTTGACCATTTTCCCGTAATTAGAATATTCCAAAATTTAACCAGTGGGAGGCACCACTTCCAGAGAGATTGGTGATGTAAGAATCTACGATGAAGAAGCAACACATTATTTGTTTTCATAGTAAAGAGAAGTAGCACAGGCATACTTTTTGCGTTTTCATTTCGCCTGCTAATGTCAGGGGTACTGAAGGCACACTTTCATGTTTTTGGGTAATGTTAAGGTAGTAGAATGTTGAGGAGGAGTTGAGATGCAGTTCTCTGTTGCACGTTTGTTGAATGAGGCAAGAGATGAGATCAGCAGAAGCAATGAATTTAAGAGTGTTGAACAAACTCAATAGTTAGGTATTCGGTTTGTTACAAGTCTGATTGACTCTACAGGAACTTTGAACACAAACATTTCCCAACCTTCTGGATGTGTACGAAGACTTGCATTCCTTCTGCGCCTCATTAGTTTTGACAGCAAAACAGATAAATAATCGAAACCCGTCGAAAGAAATACAGTCTAGAATATTACTGATGATTACATCTCGTAGAAATAGGATGTCCCAACTGGGCCAACCCACACAATATGAAGTTTCAAATAATTTGATCTAAATTTTTGGTTAATTCTCAGAAACAAATAGTTATGAAGACTAAATTCTTAACAAGAACCTCAGTGGTGAGGTAGCTCGGCATTTTGTTCTGCCTCCAGGATAATGCAGGTCATGACAATCCAAAATGCAGGCACATCTAACGTTTGGGTTCCATTGACCTTCTAGCATGAGATCTATTCTATAAGATTCTACCTCTATGTCCTTGAGATATAAAGAAACACAGCCTCGTTAATATTTCAGTTAACTCTGATCCAATATGCATGTGTTGATGTATATAAATCTTCTTTTGTGGGTGGGTGGGGAGATGGCGACAATAGGAATTATCTGACAACAACTGCAATTGAAGAAAAGAGAATAAATTTACCCTTGAGTTGTTCAACCAATCCCTTGAGTATCTTCTCCTGATCTTTCAGCTTTGATAGTTCGGCCACCTCTTTTGCTATTGCTAATTTTGCTTGTTCAATTTCCCGCCTTCGAATAATGAGACCTTCTTCATATGTTGTTATTTTTTTCTTCAATTTATCTCTTGCGACTTTTCCAGCCTCCCAACAAGTATTAGGGCACTTAATTTTGCCATCATACTCATCACTTCCATCACAGCAATCTGCTCAACATATGCAGTCTTAATGTTCACTCCAGAGAAAGGTGGTAAGATGTGATATAATAATTAAATAAGACCACTGGAATAGTATGAGGGTCAGGATGCTAAGGATTCTCGGACCCTCATCCATGTTTATGAAAGAAAACACCCGAGCAGGATGTAAATAAGAGAAAAAGTAGAGATACACAAGAAAAGCATTATTTAACCAAGTTATCTAGAAGGCGGAGTTGGCACTTCTAATAGTTAATAATGTGTGGAAGATCATCACTTCACTTCTTGTAGAAAGAGAGTTGATAGGAAGTGTCTTATAAAATAAAAAAGGGAGGAAGTCAAAATGAATATTCAAGCAGGACAACAGTATAATCTCCATCATCTTTCAAGTGCCAAGAATGTAACAAATAAAATGAAGACGAGTGGCGAAAAGATTCTGTTGATTAAACTTATTCACTAGTGGAATTGGTGTCATCTCCATCAACTCTTATTGGGCACACATCCTACATTTATCGAATATTCACTAGAACTAAACAATATCACTTCAAATTTAATAATCTAATTAGATTTAAATAATTTCCCTTGTTAAAGACCATGTAAAATAAATTTGAAGTTCTATTACACGAGAAACGGGTGATGAGAAAAACATTAGTCTGAGTTTACTTGATGTGTCTACTTATCTGAAAGCCAAGTGTGGCAACTGTGTCAACTTATCTGATAAGCTCATTCAATCATCTTACTGAAAAACTTGTTTGAGTAAATCTTCTCTTTTCTTTATCTAGTTTAAGCTTAAATTTATGGTTATACACACAAAATCCCATATTAATAGCATAATTTGTCTCAAAATTAGACCAAAAGCACCATAGTCTAGTTCTAGTGAGCTTCTGTTAAGTCTCTTCTGCAAATGAACCATGTCTTTAATTGGTAGTGTCGAGTAGCTTGTTTCCTAATTTTTGAGCTAAAGACATACCAAACATTGAAATTCCAATGCATCATTTTACAGCAGAAAGATTGCGAATGTTAAGGAATATAGCTGTAAATAATTGAATTGGACGTTTGAAAATTTCAGCATGCTTACCGCACAAACCATCGTTGACTCTAGAAGAATATAAGAACAGTGGAACATGTCCTGCATTCTTGCAATAGAACCTCCCATTGGGGCAAGCAGATGTTCCTGCAAAACCCACCATTATCCGAACTCATCTAACATCTTTCAAATTAACGCTAAAAAACTTGCAATAAACCAGCATATCCTAATTTTTATCTGCCCATGATTGATACCAGATACGTTGTTGTAAAAGAAAAATCTCTATATCATCATAGAACAAATTCTTCACAAAATTCAAGAAGTTAAAGGAAATATACCGGGCTCATCCGAGCCGTCAGGGCAATCGCAAAAGTCATCATTGAACTGAGACTTGCTGAATTTCCTTGATCCATCTTTACATTTTATGGTACCAGAAGATGACCATCCTCTGTAATACTTTTCATCTGCACACTCATCACTCACGTGCATCATTGCAGAATTAAATTTCATATCAGAGTGTAGTGTTCAAAAGGTTATAATCCAAGATTAAAGTAGGAGAAACACGGACCAACCTTCAGGGGAAACTCCGACGAGTTTATCTTTGGAAGGAACAGATGCCGATCTGCAAATGCCATTCATCAGCATAACGCAAAACAACAAAATTGCACTTTCTATTCGTAAATTCGTCATCTTCACCCTCCAATATAATGATAATTAAACTACTTATTGATTAATGTTGTTTTTGCCTCACCCAGAAAACCTAGAGTTAATTGCTAGTAAATTAGTGCGTAAGGATAAACAATAGGATCAAGTATATGAATTTTCACAGAATAATAAACACTGATAATTAATGAAAGCCTGCAGTTTAAGCTGCAGATAGAGTGGTGCTGCAGTGGAAAGATGAAGAGAAACACAGAGACGACGTCGTGGTAAGAAAAAGTGACCAAACGCCGGCATCCATTTTTAAATTTGGGTCAATTGCGGCCGCCGTTCTCAATCTTTACATCTCTTGCATCTCTACCCTCAACATTTGTTTCATTTTTATCCTCGTCTTTTTAAATATTAGCGGTCATCGTCCTTAATAAGGATCCGAAATTGCTGTCACGTTGGTGAAAAACTTTTCCCCATATTTGAATATGAAAAATCCGTAAGATCGTGTAAATGATTTTTTGGGATCTGGACAAAAGAATTGGGAGGAAAATTTCTTTTTCTTTGATGTACTAAACATCAAATTTTCACTGGGAAAACGAATTTGATCATTTGAGTAACTATAATGGTGGAGAACTTTACGTTTGAATCGTAACATCTTAGAGAGGATAATTGGCACAATATCCTTAATATTTACATCTTTTGTGCAATATTCCTCTAATCTTTCATTATAGCACTAAACCCCCTAGATCGACCAAACTTTGAGTAATATCCTTGCCGTCCATTTTTGTTCGTTTCTCCTTAAAAACTAGTCATGAGGCGCCGAACACGAATAAAATCATCAAGGACTTTTGCGTCTCTTCAATTTCGTATTTTCACCTAAGGCCACGTTTGTTCAAACTCGACGTGCGAGAGAAATCGGCAATATGAACAAAATAATTCTAATAATCCACCAAAAAATCGAAAATCTTGATTCAATTTTCACAATGGAAAATAAGGGTGGGGGTTCTTTGCACGCTGTTTAACTTCCATTTTTGGACAAATTATTTGATGTTTGATGTAGGTTTGTAAAATACCTTGGTGGTGGATAATCTTGTATATTTTGTATCGTTGTATTGCTTCTGCTGGTCTGGATTGCTATGTTGATTTGTGCAAAGTTTACAAATGTAAGAGTTGTATTTCATAAAAGGATTCGGATTGAGGGTTGACTTGTGCACAAATTGCTTTAGCCTTCTTCCTCATCAAGGTCTACATCCATTCAAAGCAACTCAACAAAACGAGAAAACTTAACCTTATATACTTATGTTGTAGTGAAATTCTTCGATATTCATTTCAAAAGTAGGTTTATGCTACGTGTATGGGAGTAATAACTGGGTTACAATCACTATGAAGCAAACCTACCTATAAATCAAACAAAAGAACCAATTAATGAAGGATTTGCAAAGATTAACTTCAAGAAAGTGAAAACCAAAAACTGAAAAATTGAAGAACGATTTTTCCTTTTTTGATTCGGCTCAAAAATTCGATCCACACCACAAAAGTATCTTCAATTTAAAGGCCATTATTAGTCACAAAGATAATTTCACAAAGAAGGCAGAGGAGGATTTGTTTTGCACTAAGCAGGAGGAGAGTTTCTCTTGTTTTGGGTTGAGAAAAATGAAGGGTGAAGGCTCCAATTTATAGGCTCATAGGGGAGAACGAATTTTCCAGAAATCTTGCAAGATTATGATAGAAAATCTGCAAGATTATGTTAACTAAAAGATAGAGCTCATCCAAGACGAGATAAGGTAGTTGAAGAAAGATATCGATTATATTTATCTATCTTTTCTTGTGATTTTCAAATTATCTCTAAGTTGGGTGTAGAGCATCTAGCTCAATGGACTGACTACCTCTAAATACCCAACATAATTGGGCTACTTCAATTGTGGTGTGGATTTAATTCTTCAATATTGGGCTTATAGCCTATGAAGTTAAAATGGGCTTCGATTTTTCATCATAGCCTAGGGGATTTGGGCATCACTTAGCTAACATGCCCAACAATCTCTACCTTGATGCCAAATCATTCCGCAAGTCAGATAAAATAACAAATAACTTAAGGGAAGAGACTTACAAGTTTGTACCGATGTTTAGAAGATCAAGGCAGCTTTTAAACTTTACCAACGGGAGCACCTTACTTTTCATATCTGCGAGATTATATTCTGAAAGGACTTTCTCAAGTTTTACCAGTTCTTGAGAAACCATATCTCTAATAAAATGCAATCTAATATCAATATGTTTCGTATGTTCATGAAATACAAGATTTTTGCATAGGTGAATAGCAGATTGACTATTAGAATATATTATCATATTGTCCTTAAAAACACGAAGTTCATTTAATATACCTTTAAACCACAAAAATTCTTTAAAGGCTTCAGTAGCAGCAATGTATTATGATTCAGTAGTGGATAATGCAACAACATGTTGAAGTTGTGATTTCCAACTATCACATGAATTACACAAGGTAAACATGTAGGAAGATGTAGATTTCCTATTATCTCTATCATCAACATAGTTAGTATCAGTAAAACCTTTCAATTTTATTCATTCAGTACTAAACTTATATATTAAGCCAACATTCCATGTTCCTTTCAAATATCTAAACAACCATTTCAAAGTCTCCCAATGTTTGAGACCCGGGTTGGATATATACCTACTAAGTGTACTAAAAGCAAATGCTAAGTCAGGTCTAGTACACTAAGGGTGGGCGCTTAGAATCGAACCGAACCAAAATTTTCGGGTATCTAGTAAATGGAATCGTCGGGTCCAAATATAATTATGGAACCATTCGGGTTCGGTTCCGTTCGGTTCTGTACTATAATTAAATTTTTTAACATTTATAACAATATTATATAAATACACTAATGATACATTCAATGATTTTGAAATATCAAAGACTAGCAGACTACCTTATTCAAATGATCGCTACGGTCAAAATTTCGATCAGCGGAGGTCACAGTTTAGATCGAAGGTCACAGTGTCGGTCGACGATTGTATATGTTTTGAAATGTTAGCGAGGTTGCGAGAGTGAGTGCGAGATTCGAGACAACATTATGCACTTTAGTGTATGTGTTTATGGTTATTTAGTGGATTCGATATTGTTGAGCTAAGAAATGAAATAATAAAATGGATAATTGGGCCGAAAATTAAAAAATTAGAAATGAAATAAATTATTGGGCCAAAATTTTGGATTTAGAAATTGTTAATTTGTTAATTTGTTTAGAAAAAACTAAAATTAAAATTAAAATAATTTGATTTACTCAATATAAAAAAAATTAGAAATATTCGGTTCTTATTCGATTTTCGGTTCTTGGTCTAGAACCGAGAACCGAACCGTACCCGTCGGTTCTCAATTCAAATACCCGTTCGGGTATTTAATTTGACAAGAATCGTCGGGTTCAATTCAGTTCGGTTCGGGAGATTTGCCCAGCCCTATAGTACACACTATTAGAAACACCACAGAACCAATGGCATTTGTATATGGAATTCGTTTCATATATTATTATTCTTTTTCATTAGCAGGTGATTGTTCTTTAGATAATACAAAGTGATTAACTAAAAGTAATGTAACAGGTTTACATTCATTTATGCCAAATTTCTTCAAAATTTTCATGATATATGAAACCTAATGTAAAAATAAAATTGATTTAGACCTATCTCTTTGAATTTCTATGCCTAAGATTTTTTTAACGTTACCTAGGTCTTTCATATCAAATTTATTACTTAAAGTAGTTTTTACATCATTTAACAACTTCAAGTTGGTACCAATCAAAAGTATATCGTCCACGTATAGCAACAAAAACACAGTTATTATTGTTTGCATTACCTTGATAGTATAAGTAATGATCAAATTCACTCATTTTAAAATCAATTGTTTAAACAAACGAATCAAAACGTTTCTACCATTGTCTAGGAGATTGTTTTAAACCATACAAAGAACGTTTAAGAAAACACACATGATCAGATTTTTGTTTACTTTCAAAACCTTTAGGTTGATCCATAAAAATCTTTTCATCAAGTTCTCCATGCAGAAAAACAGTTTTAACATCAAGTTGTTCAAGTTTTCAATTGAAATGTGCAACTAATGCAAGTATAGTCCTAATTGTGGTATACTTAATAACTGGAGAAAAAATTCCATTATAATCTACCCCTTCCTTTTGTGTGTAACATTTGACCACAAGTCTAACCTTAAACCTTGAACCCTCTCATTTGGTAATTCCATCCTTAATTCTAAAAACTCATTTACACCCAATTATTGACTTGTCTTTAGGTCTTGAGACTAATCCCATGTTTGATTCTTATCGAGGGAACTTATCTCTTCTTTCATCGCTTTCACCCAATCCTCAGATTGTTCACTTCTTCAGGCTTCTTCATACGTGTTTGGTTCCCTACCAACTAGTTCTTCATAACTAGCATAAGCAAGTTCAAAATCAAACTCTAACCTTTGAGGCACCCTATGTTTTCTTCTAACTCTGTCTCTAACTAACTGGTAATCAGACAAGAGTTTTGCTCTCCTTGATATTCCTCTGTAACTTCATCTCTCTCAATATTTTCACTCTGATTATCTTCTAGTTCGGGATTTTGATGCTCCACCTCGATTGAGGTGGTGGGGGTTTGAACACTTAAGGATTTTAAATTTACTTGAGATTCGTCACTAATGTTTTCTTGTTGTTTTTCTCTTAAGGTGTCACTTTCTGATTTTAGACACGGCATTTCAAACTCATTAAATGTAACATCACGATTTATGATGATCTTAACTACATTTTGACTTCTATCCCAAAGCCTATACCCTTTAACTCGTTCAGGGTATCCTAAGAAAAACACATTTCCTAGCTCTAAGTTTTAGTTTTCCCTCATTTTGATGAAAGAAAGTAGCACAGCCAAAAGTTTTTAACATAGTATAGTCAGCACATTTACGATACCATTTTTCATGTGGAGTATCACCATTTAATGCAGTAGAAGGTGCCAAATTAATTAGATAATATGCAGTGATAACAGTTTCACCCCAAAAAGATTTAGGAATTCCAGAATTCAACATCATACATCTAACTTTGTCAAGTAAAGTACGACTTATACGTTCAACCACCCCGTTTTGTTGAGGTGTATAAGGAACAGTTTTATATCTAGTAATTCCACATTTTTCACACAAATCATCAAAATCATTATAACAGAACTCTAGGCTGTTATCAGTTCTTAGATATTTTATCTTTTTGCCAGTTTGAGTTTCAACTTGCAATTTCCATATTTTGAAAATTTTAAAGGTTTCAGTTTTATCTTTTAACAGATAAACCCACACCCTACGAGAGTAATCATCAATTATGAATATAAAATATATATTACCACCCATTGTAGGATTAGTAGCAGGCCCCCATAAATCAGTATA